CCCAATATAGATTTCCTAATTTGAACTCAAACTAGGACTAAATGGTTTGTAAATGACATCCTCTAAGTTGTCCTATTATAGTCATCTTTAAAATGAAACATAAAAGTTTAGATGAATACATACCATGGTACTGGCCCCCTAAAGCAGTCACTCCATCAATTACAGACTGTAAAAGTTTCTCACTGCTGGGCCTTGGGTAGAAAAAGAAATGAAAAGTAGAGGGGGGAAAATTTTTGAGACGGAAGAAAATAATTCAATTGATAAAAACAAAGACAGAACCCCTAAGTTGCACATTTCTGGGTAACAAAGACATAACAAAGACAATACTAACTGAGTATTAAAAGAATATGCTATAAAATGTATAGAAATATGGCACATTAAAACTGAAACAGTATATAAAGTGAATTATTATAGTACCAAATGGTCTTAGGCTAGCAAAGATTTTAAAAACCTTGGACAAATTTGTCCATGCATAAAAGGCTTGACTATACTAACTCGAACATCCTTAAACCAGGATTTTAATAATAAATTAAATAAATTATTTCTCAGTTGAGAATTTATTTGAATAAACAGAACATGTATGAAACAGAAGTAACAGCAGGATAAAAATACGATACAAACCTTTTCTTTTAAAAGATCTTTCTAAAATTGCTTTTTTAGGTGGCAATAAAGCAGATGAATGCACAATTGAGTCTGTGTAAAAATATACAATCAACAAAAAGTATACAAACTTTCCCACCTCCCTTTTGCTTTGGTATTAGAGAAGACAAAACCTTCTTAGAATAGCTCTATGCAACTTTTATCCCCAAAACATCTGGATAGATTTTATTGTCTATAAAATCATAATTTTACTAATGTCAAAGAAAGATATTGCATCCAAATTATTTGTGGAGTGGGATGTTAATTTCCTTTGGATTATTTTTCAGCATAAATATCGGGACACTTATTTTTCAAAGGTTATAAACAAATTAATTATACAAAAAAAGAAATTATAGGGAAGTCATAAGCTGCCAACACGTCTAATAAGCATAACGTGATAGAGAGCTATAGTACTTTTCCAGTGAACTCCAGTGTAGGGAAAATAGAATGATATGAATGACACTATGTATAACACTACGGAATTTCTTAAATTCCTAATTAAAAAATAACAATGTAAAACCATGTTTTATTCCTACGGGGAAGGGAGGATTAAAAAAATAACAGGGCATATTCACCTCACAGGAGCAAATAGCCCCTTTTGTTGTTGCCATTTTTCTCTTCCCTCTCCAGCCCTAAGAAAATATAGGATCTTTGTTCCCTAGCAGCTCATATAGTTATTTGCATAAGACAGGTACTTAATAAATGTGGAACTGAATTGTTGGGGCCTGCAGAGGACAAAGTCAACAGTGGCCTGGGGCTCAAAGCCTGTTGATTAAAGGGAGGAAACTGAAGGGAAAGAAGTCAAGGGGCAGCTAGGTGGCACAGTGGATAGAGCACCTGCCCTGGAATCAGCAGGACCTGAATTCAAATCCAACCTCAAACACATGGTATTTACTAGCTGTGTGACTCTGGGCAAGTCACTTAACCCTAATTGCCTCAAACCCCGCCCCCCAGAAAGAAAAAAAAAAAGTCAAGCAACTTAATGGCAGGAGAGGAAAACCTAAAGTGGAACTGCTACCATTTTGTGTAAATTTAGTTCTTAGTTCTCTCCTTTTATTTCCCAATAGCATAGGCAAAACTACAATTAGGCAGTTAAGTGGCCCAGTGGATAGAACCCTGTGCCTGGAGTCAGGAAGATCTGATTTCTAATCCATCTTTAAACACTTATTATGTGACCCCTGAGTAAGTCACTTACTCTCTGTCTGTCTCTGTAAAATAGAGATAACAATAACCCCTATCTCTCAGAATTCTTAAGAGGACAAAATGAGATATTTATAAAGCAAATATAAATGCTGTCTACTATTGTTGTTGCTGTTATAATGTTAAACTTGGTACCCGTCAAGGTACTGGTTTGTGACATACAATTACTACTCGTAATCATTTATTTCATTGCTTTCCTGGAAATGATTTCACTTGGTACTTTTTTGTTCACCTGGTATCTCTGCCAATAATTATCATAGCTTCCTGTTGCAGGGTCACATCTTCTAGATGACAGATTTCTGTCAGGACAGTATGCACATTTTGCTCTTCAGCATTTGCCAAACGGGTGGCATGTTCTTCCCAGGATACAGCCAACATTTCTCCCAAAGGATCAATCAACTTCACACCATTGTCTTCCTTGAAAAAAAAAAAAGCAAATTAAAAAGTGTTCTGAATACATGAGTGCAGAACCACCCAAAATGATGTGGTAAATGTAAGAGTGAATGAAGTAGTGCTACTCTGCCATGACAGCACAGGAGTTTCAAAATGATTTTAGAAGAAAATGTGGTCAAAGTATTGGTTGTCATCTAATAATAGACCGGTGGATACTTGGAGCAGAATGAGACACTCATTGCCCTGGTTCACTTCTGACTTTAAATGCACTCTGGTTGGCAAACAGGTGGCACACAAACCTTCCAAGAAATGACTCGCCTTTGTTTTTGCCATTCTCCTGGAAAAAAACAGCAAGTAAGGACTATTTGGGGTGAGCTATTAACTAATGATAGCCTATGTGAAACTCTCCAGTCTATGAAATGATTTGAGAAATGCCTCCTTGAACCAGTCAACACGTTTGGGATTCTTTCCACAAGTAAACAATCAGATATAGATATCTGAACACTATTCACAAAATTAGGTTAAAAACAACCCTCCTTACTAGTTTGTTTTTTTTTTTAAGGGGACACTGAGAGGAGGGGTAGGAAGGGTCATTCAGGACATAGAGAGAAGCCTAAACTTGGGCTTTCTTTAAAAAAAAATTTCATGCCCTAGTCCTATAACCATAAACCTCATGTTTAAAAGAAAAAAAATCTCAAAATTTAAGCAGTGCAAAACCTAAGTGCCCAGGGAACCTAAATACTTGTAACTTAGTTTCCCCAGTGCTTAACATAGTGCCTTACATACAGTGGGTGGGTAATAAATATTTGCTGAATTAAATTAAATGTCTGTGGGCTTGAAGCCTCCAGGCGAGTTCAAAAAGAGATCAAACAGTCATTCCAAAAAACACCTGAAATTATTTGTCTGGCTCTATCTATTCAGCCCAAAGAATCTGTTCACAACCTAGTGGTGAAATTGCTTGAACACCAAAATAAATTTCAGATAGTTCTGGGCTGAGATCTCTTCACTTTCAAATGACTTGGATTAAATACATCATTATTTCCCCATAAGGAACTTTTGCCCCAAAGAGAAAAACATTATTTCATTCTCTTCTTACCTTCTAAAGAATCATATACTGCATGGCCATTCCCTTTAATGAAGAAAGTTACTCCATGACTTTGTTGCAGATTCAGAAATATATCAATCAGAAAACACATTACTGACTACAACAGCATAAACACCACCTTTTAGATTTTTAAATAAAAGATTTGCTTTTTCAAACCCTAAACCCATTACCTCAGGATTGTGTGATGCTGTGATCATAATCCCTATGGTAGCCTTTTTCTGTTTTGATCTCAGGACAGCTAACATTCCCATCCGATAGATGGCATGATCAAGAAAGGCTGCTTTTGCTCGAAATCCAGCAGTACCATATTGAAGAATGAGTCCATCTGGCTTGGCATGTAATGCTGAGAATTTAGTAACAGCACCCAAATCCATGTCTAAAAAATCGAAGATATTTTTGGAGAAAATAAAATTTTAAAAAATTGGAACACTACATAACAGAGAACTACATAATATTCCTTTTGTGAAATTGTGTTTGAATATACATCATATAATTCCTGTTGTTCTCAGAATAACATAAAAACTTCACTAATAAACTACAAATAAAACAAAAGTAAAATGCTAGCTTTTTAGTAAAATACTAAGACTGTAAGGGATAAAATATATTTTACAGGCAATCTCTGCAGAGAAATGATTGAGCTGCCTTCTCCAGAGAATGTGACCTCAAACTGAACAAACTGAGGAAAAGTCATTTATTTTAAGGCTGACCTCCCAGACAGGCCTAATGACCCTGAAGCTGCTACTTAGGAATATGTCATCCCTCAAAACCCAACTCAAACGCTACCTACTTTGTGACATCTTTGCTGATACCCCCAAGTTAGTAATAATTTCACATAGCACCTTATGCCAATTTTATGAACTTTTGGATAACTCTTTTTTATAGCTATGTATATTATATCCCATCATTAACCCATAAACTCAATGACGGTACACAGGGGCCTGGGCTTATCTAAATATTGTGAGTAATCAGTACCTAATACTCTTCAAAGTAAAATGGTACTTTGCAGAGGACTAAGCACTTAATAAAGATCTGTTAAATGGAAATATGTCCATTTTGACCCAGGGTTGAAGGCCCAATTTCAAGTAGCCTCAAGGATGAAATCAGCGACTGTGACTCGTGAAGGGGCAAATGGAAGCTAGATAGAAGAGGAAGAAGACTCCTCTTCCCCAATTCAAATCTGGCCTCAGACACTTCCTAGCTGTGTGACCTTGGGCAAGTCACTTAACCCTGTTTGCCTCAGTTTCATCTGTAAAATGAGCTGGAGAAGGAAATGGCAAACCACTCCAGTATCTTTGCCGAGAAAACCCCAAAATGAGTCACGAAGAATCGGAGACACTGAAAAAACAATTAAACAACAAAACCTCACTCTAAGGTAATTTATACATGATTTCACACGTATAAATATAATAGCTTGACTTTTCAATGGGGGGTGGCTGGAAGGAGAGAATTTGCAACTCAAAATTTAAAAACAACAAAGAATGTAAGAAATAAAGAGAAAGGAAGGAAAAGGAGAGTTAGAAATCCCACATTTCTAGTTTGAGTCCACTGATTTCTTTCTCACAAGATCCTAGTGGAGCTATGTAAGGTACACAGGAAAAAAAAAATAAGCCAGACTTTGGGCACCTGGGGCAAAGGTCAAGGAGAGGTTTAAGGAACAGTGAAGGCAGCTAGCTAATCACAGAAAACCCGGGCGCACTAGGTGGTCACCACGCCCTCTTCCCCGCCCAGGGAATCGAGCAAAGGGCAGCGCCAACCACCGGGCCAATGGCGCGAGGGGGTGAATGCACGGGTCCGAGACACCAAGCCTCACACACGGTGAGGAGAAAGCCGGGTGCGCCCACGGAGCTGCTCTGCGGGAGGAGAGGGGAGGGGCGGGGCGCTCTCTTCGGCCCCGGCTTTTACCTCCCCAGCATCCTTCCTCTTCCTGTGCAGACTAGGCTCCTCTCCCTCCTCCTCCCATCCCGGCCTCTCTTCAACGTCTCCGCGTCTTCCCTCCCTCCAGAGCACGGGGGAGGGGAGGTGTCAGGAAATCAGCGCTCCACCTTCCCCCCTAGACTAGAGCCCCCCTCCCCGGCGCCGACGGTGACAAGGCCCCTCCCGCCCGGAGACGCGCGCGACCCCAGGCCTGCCCTCCAGCTGTGCTGGTAACGTCAGCGGAGGAGGGGGGGCCGAGGAGGTGGCAATGGCAGGGGCGCTCGCGAGCTTTCAGTTGTGGAGCGACTCCCCTCCCGGTGCCCCCCCCAAGCTCCTCTCGGCCCCAATACCCACAGACGGTAGGGGTGGATGCCTCGGCGCTCACCTAGCCTCCAATTTTGCCCCCCAGCCCTCTGTCCAGAAATGCGGAGGGAACCTCCCAGCAGCTGCGTGGCACGCGGCAAAAAAAGCGGGCAAATTCCCCAAGTTCTAAAGTCGTAGCGGACCCGCCCCGTCCCGCCCCAGAATCCCACTCATTCTCTCCTAAGACGTGGCTGTTTCCTCCAGATTCCTTCCGCTTGGAGACTACATTCCCCCAACCAATCATTTACGCTGGAGGAGGGGAAGGGGGCGGGGCTAACTCCACCCCTGGTTTGGGGTTGGGGGAGCTTACCTTGCGCTGCACGTGTCCTTTGCGCCTGCGGCCTAGCCTCCTCTCGGTTTGCGGGGCTGTGTTGCAGTGGCGGGGGCAGGGCTTATTTCCTGGAGGTTGGAGCTCTCACAAGCTACACGTGGCAGCTGCTGCAGTGCTTTGGAAGCGACGGGCTTCCTGCGCGTGCGCAAAACGAGCCCAGGAGCGGCCCCCGCTCTTTTTTCTCTACAGTCGTTCTCGAAGACTTCTCCTCCAGCCCTTTTTCTGGGCAGTAGCTGGAGTCCAGCTCCCTAATCCCTGGTCCTCCGTCTCGGATATCTTGCCCAGAGCATCTCTATCTTCTTGCAATAGCCTACAGGCGTCTCTTTAAGGTTTTGCAAATGCCAGGTAGGTCCACGAGGAATAACCCATGAAGCAGGCATTCGTTAAACACCTACTGTGTGTGGTAGGCACGGGGGATATTGAATCCAAATCACTCAGCACTTAATAAATGCCTGCGTTTTGGTTTTTTGCTTTTGCATCCTCGGAGCCAGGTGCAGAATCTGCACTTAAGTACCTATAGTTTGATTGGCAGGTAACTGGCATCCTTAGGACACTCCTTGGTGACGGTCTTCCTTTCCACAGTGCAGAAAACTATTCATCCATGTTTGCTAAATCCTATGTGATTCTTGTCCACTTAAGGGAGTCCACCCGAAGTGGGGAGGACCTTCCTCTGGGTTTCCCTCAGTTATCCCTGACATGTCCTCAGTCCTTGGTACACAACTCACCCATTTTTCCTGGCCATTCAACTTTGGTGATAGCCTGATGTCCTTTCTCTAGCTTCTAGTAGTCCAAGTACAAGCCTAGTAATGAGAGAGCTGACCCCAAAGCTAGGATAACCCAGGTTCAAATACCGACTCTGAACACGTACTTTGTGACCCCCAAGATATCTTGGGATTTACAGGCTAGATTTCTTTCTCAAGGACCATGCCTCAACCCAAATCACCCTGGCTCTCACTGGACAACAACAAGGCCTAGCCCCACTTGTTCTTTGTTTGGGTACTTATTAACTCAGAGTGAATGAAAATAGGAATTGTTTTTGTTTTGGCCAGAAACCCTGAGGGTCTTTCCCTCCCAGTTTGATTTTTTTTTTTTGGACTAAGTTAAAGGAGTCATTCTTTGCCTAGTTTTTTTTGTTTGTTTTTTTGTTTTGTTTTGTTTTTTACCTAGCCTTAATCACTAAATGGGCTTTGCCTCAGTCACACGGAGACCTACTAAAGACTTCAGATTTAAAAGGCCAAGGTCTTCCACTGCAACTGGGGCCACCTCCATTTGTCCTGATGTGTATCTGCCACTGGGCTCAGATGGCTCCAGAGAAAATGAGGCTGGTGACTTTGCACAGCCCTCCCTCATTTAAATCCAATCACTTGCCAGTCATGATATCACCTTCCTGATGCCAAACAACAACCCCTGATAACTGAATCTTCTAGGCAGTTCTGAGACTAGTCATTGCAAAGAGGGTGCATCAGTAGAAGGTATACCAGTGAAATCATAGGTCTCCAGGCCCCATTCCTTTTGAATTATATATCGCTTTCATCTGTGAAACTTCCCTACCTCCACCCTTCCAGTCTACCAGGTTCATTCTAGAACCTTGATGTTAACTTTGACTACTTACTCTTCCTCATTGCATATGTAGATGCCATTTCTACTTCTGCAACACGCAAACAACACCTCCCTAATCACCTGTCTACCGTCTGCACAGAGACCCTCTTCAGCTCTTTTGGATTGTTTTAGTGACCTCCCAATATCTCCTTGCCTCAAGTATTCCCCTATCTAATCCATCCTTTATAGAGCTGCCAAAATGATTTGAAGCTCAGAACTGACCACAAGTAAACTCCAGTGGTACCTTTTTGCTTTTAAGATAAAATATATAATTGTTCTTTCTCAGCCTGGTTCCAACCTATCTTTTCTGCTGCCTTAGTCCATTGGGTCTTCCCACCTCCCCATCCTTATAGTCAGATTGGTCATTCCCCATGCCTGGAATGCACTCTCCTCATCACCTTAGAGAAGTCCCTCACTTCCTTCAACAGAGCTCAAGAATCATCTTCTATATGAAGCCTTAACTGTTCCTCCCAAATGTTAGTGCCCTCCCTTTCTAAATACCTTGTAATTATTCTGTATATGTTCTGTTGATACTTAAATTTGTACAAAATCTCCCTACAGAAAATGCAAGCAAGGTTTGTTTTTCTTTTTGTCTTTGTTATTCCAGAATTTAACACAGTGGCTAGCACATAGTAGGTGCTTGCAAATGCTTGTGGATTGAATTCTTTGTTGGTGACATGGTGTGTAGCCCACTGGTAACCACTATTGTTCTGCAATGCCCTTTGAGTGACTTTCAACTTTTTAGAGACTAGTAGTCCTTCAGTCATCAGGAAAATATTTGGATTTTTTGTTTGTTTATTTGTTTTTAAGATGAGCTATTGTTTCAGGGAAAAGCTTGGAATCATTAAATTTCTCAAAAGCAATCCAATCCCTTTCTCCTCTTCCCATTCAATTCTGGTCCAGGTCATTGTCTTTGCTCAGTGTCTGTCCAAGATAAAAGTACTGATATGTCATCTGTATGGGTTGGCTATTTACCTGTAACCCATGAAACAAAGATACTCTGGATATGCAAAAATATATGATTGTAGCCCCTTCTATTTTGCCAATTTACTGAGTATTAGTTGCCATGGAGACTCAGGATAGGAAGTAACCATGGCAACCAAGCATATTTTTACCCAGAGATAACGGAGCTCCTGACTTTTGAAGATGGAGTTAGAAGAGGATGATGCAAAGAATGATTCAAAGGGGTTATCTTGGCCAAACGAAAAGGAGGGGAAGAGGTGGAAAAGACGGGATTAGACTGATATGTCCAATCCCCGTGTACCCTACCCCCCTCACCCTTCCTCAAACCCCTAGACATTTACAGATTGCTGTTAAGCCAGTGGCTATCAGAATTGAGAGTCTGTGCCAAAACTGCTTAGAGATAATTGATCTGATCTGGGCAGTCATACAAAAGAGAAGCTACTGAAGGCTCATCCAAGCCAAGCATCTGACACCTTTTTTTCCCTTTCCCGCATTCTTGAGGATAGGGACTCTGTCACTTTTCTATATGTGTCCCCAACACTAAGCAATGCTTTGCACATAGTAAATGCTTAATAAATGCTTTCGATTCATTGATCCGTGGTCTGTTGAACCCCCATATTATCATCATTCCCATTTTACAGACCAAGAAACTGATTCTCAGAGAATATGTTGAGATACTAGTAAAAGTGAGGACTCTGCTTTTCGGACTTACTAGATTCTGCTTTTCTGGCTAGAAATTCGGTGTTCTTGCAACCTCGCCTACCCCTAGGTCTGGTGGGGTACATTGCTTTAATATACGGTTCTTGAGCATTTGGTTTGGTATAACGCTACCTAACTCAGAACTAGTGGTCGTAGCCTCAGGGGTGAGACCCGTGTAGCCCCCCCCCAGAGCAGTAGGGGACCCTGTCTGCCTCTTGTTTCCATATGGGAGAAAAATCCATAGTGTGATGTGAGAGCTGAGCTGTGTGGCCACACCCCCTACCCCCTACAAGAGTGAAGTTGGGGGCGGAGCGGGTGGGCTACAACAAGGGGGGCTGCGGCGGCTGCTGCTGCAGAGGCGGTGGCGTCTGCAGAGGCTGCAGCTGCAGAGGCAGAGGCAGCAGCGGCAGCAGAGTCAGAGGCGGCTGCGGTGCCAGAGGTGGCGGCTGTGGCGAAAAAGCCTGTGGCGGCGGATCGTTTGCAGCGGCGAGACAGACCCGCAGCTCGGGTAGCCCGCGGTCGGTGTAGTCCACAGGGTGGTGAGAGGCGGCGTGGCGTGGCGGGGAGAAAGGGGTGGCCGGGGCCGGGCTGGTGGTGAGGGAGGGCGCGGGAGCGGGGCTGCAGGCCGGGCTCCTCGGGCATCTGGGAGAGGCGAGGCGGGCAGCCCGTTCAGGTAATGCCTGGTGGGCTAACCGCGGCTAACCGCGGGCTAGCCGCGGGCGGGCAGGCGGCGGGAGGCTCGGCGCGGATGACTGGCAGCCCACGGTCTGCCTCCCGTTGGCAGACCCGCCGGGCAGCCTCCCAGGGCTGGGTGCCCATATGTCGGGTGCCCGCCAGCGGCAGAATAAAACGTTGGCCGCGCTGTTTTTTGTTGGTTGTCTTTCCCCTCGCAGGCGGTTGGATTTCCAGGCTGTCTTCACCATGACGGCTTCAGTCATTGAATGTCTGGAGCTTCAGCTGCTGGAGGTGGAAATGATGTATTCCATGTTCCCGAACAAAGGAGAGTTCTGTCTTGAGGATGCCAATGCCCTCAGACGCGTGAAGTCCTACCTGAAAAACCCCACTGGACCCCTGCCCCCCAGAATTGGGTTTGTAGTTATGGTAACGGACTATCAGGTAAATCTTCTGAATTACCCACTGTTCTATGTTAATTTCTTGATAATTAAGTTACCTACAACTAATAGTAACGTATTACTGCTAATGGTTCTCGTGATTCTCACTAATCCAAATTTTGCCCTTTTTGGTTTTAAAAGCCTACGTTTTGTCCAATGACATTACACCAAGTAAGATTTTATTAGTGCTTCAGTGAAACACAGGTAGAATGATTTTTAAAGGTCTGTATTTTTTGAAAAGGATTTCCAAGCCTAGAGGAACACCTCTTTTTATTAAAATTAAATTTTTACTGATATTTTCTGTTTCTTACATGACCACAGTATCTCATGTATCCCTTCCCCTCCACCTGCAGTATTTTTTGGAGAGGAAATAAAAAAGCACAACTGGTAGATCTATACATTGAAAAAGGCCATATAGGTTGGGGACATCTCATATTTCTTCACTTGAGTTCCACTTAATCTTTATAATTTTGGTACATTAACTTTACCTTATTGTAGTTACTATATGTATTGTTTTTTTGGCTCTGCTTCGTTTGCTCTGCATCAATTCATCCAGATCTTTCCATGCTTCTTTGTATTCATCACACACATCATGTCTCACAGCACAGTAATATTCTATTACATTCATGTACCACAATTTATTTAACCATTCTCCAATTGATGGACATCTTTGTTTTCAATTCTTACTTATCACAAAAAGTGGTCCTATAAACATGTGGAAGTAACAGGGTACTTTTTTCATATCATTGGTTTCTTTGGGGTAAAAGCTCAGGAATGGAGTTTTAGGCTTAAAATGACATTTTAGTCACTTTATTTGCATAATTCCAAATTGTTTTCCAAAATGATTCTGCCATTTTCAGAGCTCCATCAGTAATGTATTAGTGTGTCCATCATTCTTCAACCCCTCCAAAATTTTGTGTCATTGTTGCCAATTTACAAGATGTTCAATAAAACCTCATGTTTGTTTGATTTCAGTTTCTCTTGTTATTAGTGATTTGGAGCATTTTTTATGTGGTTGTAAATATAATTCTTCTTTTGAGGACTGTTCATATCCTTTGACAATTTATCTATTGGAGAATGTATTTTAATTATATATGTATATTACATATGTGTGTATATATTTATATATGTGTGTTATATATTTTAAAAATTATATCTTAGATACCAAACTCTTATCAAAGAAATTTGATAAAAAGATCTTTTTCCCATTTGACCACTTCCCTTCTTAAAATAAATGTATTAATATTGTCTGCAGAAGATATTGCTTCAAGTTTCCCTCTTCTGTTGTAAACAAAGTATTATATCCATTTGTTGTACTCAAATTTTTTTTAAGGTGTCTCTGTCCTTACTGGCTGTCTTCCCTTCACCTCTAATTCTCCCTTCCTCCCCTCCTACTAATCCTGTTCCTTAGGGTTTTTTCCTCTTATTTTAAAATTTTTGTTATATATTTATTTTTAACATTTTAAAAAAATTATTTTTATTTCTTTATTCTCTCCTTCTCTCTTGCCTCTCCCCCACCCACTGAGAAGGCAAGAAATATGATATTAGTTACACATGTGAAATCATGCAAAACATATTTCCACATTAGACATGTTGCCCCAAAAAAAAAGGCCAAAAAATGAAGAAAGTAAGAAAATTATACTTCAATTTGCACTCAAAGTTCACAGTTCTCTCTGTAGAGGGAGATAGCATTTTTTTATTGAATCCTTTGTGATTGTCTTGGATCATTATATTGACAAGAGTAGCAGATCTTTCACAGTTGAGCATCATAACAATAGTGCTGTTTCGGGGTACCATGGTCTCCTGTTTCTGTTCACTTCACTTCGCATAAGTTCACATAGGTCTTCCCAGGTTTTTCTGAGATCACCCTCTCATCATTTGATATATCGCAGTAGTATTCCACCACAATCATGTACCACAGCTTATTCAGCCTTTCCCCAATTGATGGCCACCCCTACAATTTCCAGTTCTTTGTCACTACAAAAAGGGTTGCAATAAATATTTTTGTACACATGGGGCCTTTTCCTTTCATTTTGATCTCTGGGGGATGCAGACCTAGTACTGCAGTGGTATTGCTGGGTCAAAAGGTATGATGCACAGTTTGATAGACCTTTGGACATAGTTCCAAATTGTTCTCCAGAATGGTTAGACCAGTTCTCAACCTTACCAACGGTGCATTGGTGTACCTATTTTTCCACGTAGCCTCTAGCATTTGTCATTTCCTTTTCTGACTTGTGAACCAATCTGATTGGCATGAGGTGATACCTTAGAGCTGTTTTAATTTGCATTTCTATAATCAGTAGTGATTTAGAGCATTTTTTCATGTGACCACTGATACCTTTGATTTATTCTGAAAACTGACTGTTCATATCCATTGACCATTTGTCAGTTGGGGAATGACTCTTAATTTTATAAATTTAACTAAATTCCCCATATATTCCCCATATATTTGAGAAACAAGGCCTTAATCTGAGAAACTTGCTCCAAATTTTTTTTTATACTTAATTGTCTATGGTACCTTTTCGCAAAATGTGGTTTCCCTGCCTATCTCTTTTAATTAGATCTTTTTTTTTTTCTTTTGTTTTGTCTGAGATCATGATTGCTACCACTGTCTTATTTTTTTCAGCTGAAGCATAATAAATTCTTCTCCAGCCCCTTATTTTAACTCTGTGTATGTCTCTCTGTTTCAAGTGGGTCTCTTGTATAGAACATATTGTTGGATTCTGGTTTCTATTCCATTCTGCTATGTGCTTCTGTTTTGTGGGTGAGTTCATCCCATTCATATTCACAGTTATGATTACTAACTGTGTATTTCTCTCCATCCTATTTCCTTCTGTTTATCCTTCTCTTTTCCTTTTTCACCCTGTCCCTCCTCAAAAGTCTGTTTTGCTTTTGACCACTGCATCCCTTAATCCCCCGCTCTTAACACTTTCCCATTTCTCTTAATCCCCTTCCCCTCTTGCTTCCCTGTTGGGTAAGATAAATTTCTATGCCCGGCTGAGTGTCTGTATGTATCCTTCCCTCTTTGCATCAATTCAGATGACAGTGAGATTCAAGCATTGCCTACTCTCACCCCCATTTTCCCCTCCACTGTAAAAGTTCTCCCTTGCATGCTTTTCTTTTATGTGATATAATTTTCCTCATTATTCCTCTCCCTTCCCCATTTTCCTAGAATATCCCTCTTTCTCACCCATCCATTTCTTTCTGAAATCATCCCAAAATAATTGACTCATACCTGTGCCCTCTCTCTATGTAGACTCTTCTAACTGCCCTAATAATGATAAAGTTATTGGGCATGATATGTGTTACCTTCCCATATAGGAATATAAATAATCTAACCTTATTGAGTCCCTTATGATTTCTTTTTCATGTTTGCCTTTTTATGTTTCTCTTGAGTTTTGTGTTTGAATGTCACATTTTCTATTTGGCTGTGGTCTTTTCATCAGGAATGCTTGAAAGTCCTCTATTTCATTAAATATCTGTTTTTTTCCCTGAAGGATTGCACTCTATTTTGTTGGGTTATAATCTTAGCTCCTTTGCTTTCTGAATATCATATTCCAAGCCTTCTGCTCTATTAAGCTGCTAAATCTTGTATGATCCTGATTGTGGCTCCATAATATTTGGATGATTTTTTTCAAGCAACTTGCAACATTTTCTCTTTGACCTGAGACCTCAGAAATTTGACTGTAATATTCCTGGGAGTTTTCATTTTGGTATTTCTTTCAGGAAGTGATTGGCAGATTCTTTTTATTTCTATTTAATCCTCTGGTTCTAGGAGATCAGGGCAGTTTTCCTTTATAATTTCTTGAAATATGATATCTAGATTCTTTTTTTGATCATGGCTCTCAGGGAATTCTTAAATTATCTCTCCAATCAATTTTCTAGATCAGTTTTTCCAGTGAGATAGTTCACATTTTCTTCTATTTTTTTCATTCTTTTTGTTTTATTTTATTGTTTCTTGATGTCTCATAGAGTCATTAGCTTCCACTTGCCCAATTTTAATTTTTAAGGAATTATTTTCTTCCGTGATATTCTGGGTCTGCCTTCTGGTCCTTACCCAAGAATAGCCCCTGTTCTCCTGCAGCTGCAGGTGCTAGGCTTCTCTCAGTCCTTTACTTTGCTGCAGCTGCAAATAATAGTATTCCTCTCTGCCTTGGAACTACAACCAGGATCCCTGCTCCCTTGCGAAAGAGTACAGGGTCTCTTCTCTGCCCTGGAACTGCAAGGTTGCTGCCTTTACTCTATTATCTTGGCTTTGCCCCTTCCTGTTTCTCAGTTCTTAAATTTCATTTTTTGGTGCCTCTTTCCAAAAAGGATTTCTGTCACTATCTTCATTATCTATATTCCCTTTCTGTTTACTCTGCAAGCCATATTTCCTTCTATGTTGATGTTTTCTCTGTTGAGTTAATTTTTTTATGTTTAAAGTCTTTGAGTTTTCTTCTTTCTGAAACCTTTGATACTTTCAGTTTTCCCATTTTATTTTGCTTATCACTGATTTCCTGACTCCCCTCTGATTGTGGTTTCCTTTGGGGCAGGATTTCAAAGCATCTCAGCCTCTTCCAACGCTATACAATTCATTCCTACCTTATAACTCCCCTCAGAACCCACAGTGAAGTGTAGAAGTAGGAAATTAAGAAAATTTTGCAAACACAGGGAAAATAGATGTAAATATCTTTTAAAAAGCAGTGATAAAAGAGAGTGTAACAAACAAGACTTAGAAAATCTAAGTATTCAAATTATTTGTTCTAATTAAAATAAAGCTTAAGGACGAAATATTTTGCATATCCCACAGAATAGTAGTCCTAGGCTTTGTTCTCAGTGAGATGATAAGGTACCCTCCATCTCTAGCCTGATCCTGTACATTCAAGAGCTATAATTCCATTCCTAGGGGTAGTTCCTCTTTTAATGGACATTGAAAGAGCTCTGCAGTATTAATAACTCACATTTATTTATGTAATATTCTAAGGTAGGCAGGGTACTTTCCTCACAACAACATTTTTTGAGGTAAGTAGTACAGATCTTTCTTACTGGTGGGTTTTAAAAGTTGCTAGAATAAAAAAAAAATCCATTACTCTCCAGCCGTCTTAGTGCAGAACTTTTCCAAGGCTGGTCCTTGGATAATAGGCATGTTATATTCCTTTACCTGGTCCACAGTCAAAGCCTTTCTAGGTGAGTAGCACTACCCTACCTACACTGCACTGACAGTAGCTTTCAAGAACATAGGATTATCTATACACCGTGATGAAGCATGGTTGCTAGAAAGAAGAAATATTTTTATGAACAGAAACTTCTGATGGAGTTTGTGTATCTTCTGAAGGGTGGTTTTGACATTTGAATATCAACTGCTTGAGGGAAGGGACTGTCTTATTTTTTATCTTTCTACCTACAGTACCTTAACAAAGTACCTTTTACCTCACGTTTTATGTGTGCCAGAGGCAGGGCTTGAGTCCAGGTCTTTCAGACTTCAAAGCTGCCCTGCTATCCAGTATGCTATACTGTCTTTAAATGTACCTACGATAACAATAGTGATAGCTAACTTTGATATAGCACTTTAAGGTTTGCAAAGTACTTTACATATACTGGAATTTTTGTGAAAAGGGAATGGCCATTATTCATGAGCTGGGCTATTCTGATGCTTTATACATATTTGATTTCAATTTTTAGGGGGACGTTGAATTGCAGGTTGGCTTTCCTCACAACTATCCAAATGTCAAGTTGCAGCTCTTTGGGCGATCGTACTACCTTGACAGGAAACAGCAGTTGCTGCTTAATCAAGATCTTACTGCCTACATCTCAACCTTTGATGCTGGTGAGCTGTGCGTCTGTGCGGCAGTTCAGTGGCTGCGGGACAATAGTGGCCCCTATTTCCGGAAGAGTAAGCTCTTTACTGAACCTGTTGCGAAGGTGAAGATCGTGAAGGTCATGTTTCATCGGATGTGGATCTACAGCCACCAGATATGTCGTCCAGAACTGCGAAAGAGGATTTGGGACTGTGCAAAACGACTCAGTCTGACTGGGTTTTTTCTGACAGGGAAGCCAGGTATAATTTGTGTGGAGGGCAAAAAAGAGCAGTGTGAGGAATTCTGGCACACAATCAGATATCCCAACTGGAAGCATATTTCCTGCAAGCATGCTGAAACTGTGCAGGTAGAGGGTAATGGGGATGAGCTGCGCATCTTTCAAACTTTTGAGGAATTGCAGTTTGAGAGCCATGGTAATTTCAGGCATGATTACCACATGGATCTGGGCAAGTTCTTGGAATACCTCAAACAGCATAAGAGTGAACATATTTTCCAGATGTTATTTGGCATTGAAAGCAAAAGTTCAGGACGTTAGAAATATGTTCACAGAGCAGCATTTGGAATTTTTCAAGTTTTTTTCCACTGAGAATAAAAACTTGAGTTTAAATGGAATTCATTTTGTGTGTTAGCTCCTGCAGTATAGAAGCAAGCTTTTTGTTTTTTTCATCCCTTTTTTTCTTTTTGGGGTAGAAAAGGAGGTGTGCAGTGTAGACCTATTATTTTTATTAGGAAACTCAATGTGGAAAGTCCCTCCACTGATACAATTCAACAACTCATTTAACATTTAATCTGAGAGGTTATGGAACTTGCCCATGATAAAATAACTAGTATGTTGGAGAGGCAGAATTGAATGCTGGTCTTTCAGACCTTTAGACAGTATTGCCTCTTAGAAATGGTACGTATCATTTAAAGGATTAGTGACTTTCTGCCCTTCATGCTTTTCTAGCACTAGGTTGCTTTGCTTACTGAGTACTGGGTCATTAGCACCCTCTGTAGCCTAGCTTTATGTTCTCTTTGTATCTGATGTAGCACCAAACACAGTCCATGCTAGGTACAGTGTAGATGTATAGAAATATTTGTTTGTTAATTAGTGTAAATGCCGTCGGGCACCCATGGAGATTCTAGGTCACTGGGACCATTGTAAATATTCAGTTTGGGATTGTTACGAGCTCTAGGAAACCACAACCATTACAGTGAATCTGTTGTGCTCTGACCGACTGCCAGGTAGGGAGCTTTTATGTAGGTAAAGAAAATATGGGGTTCTTAAACTGTTGCAGGAGCCTTCTGGTTCATTCTAGATCCTGTAAAGTGCCTGAAAGCAAGAACAAGAACACGTTCACCCCATTTCATCTGTCCAGGGTGTGGAGCAGGGGGCAGCCTGTAGAAAGTTCCTGGCAGGAACCTGCAGAAGGCTTAGTCTGAGGGCTGCTTCAGCACACAGGGAAACATCGGGTGCTCTTACCAGAATGCTGTGCCTGGGAAGTTCTCCATCAAGGGAGAAGCAGAATTAGCTCACAGACTAGAAAGGGATAAAGACAAACAGAAAAACAGCAAATTTATTTTAAGTACATCTGAGAAGTTCAGAACAAAGCATTTTGGGATTATGAAGAAAGGGTCATTTTTCTCACAACAGTGATCCAGAAGGCTAAACTAACATCCTAGCTAAAGTAAGTTGAGATTGTGATGGCAAACAAATGAAAGGAGCAGAACTTTTTAAAAATAGTAGGAACTAGTGTGGGATATGGGCAGATTCTGGCAGAATTTTGTTCCGACTAATTCCCTGGACTGATTATCTCATTAGTTTAGAATATGGTGCTAATGAGCATTCCATAGTTGTGAGTTAAATCCTTAAGCAGGAAAGTAAGCTTCCTACCCTATTAACATGACCATAAGCTGAAATTGTATCTTTGACCAGCTTCTTTGCAAGGATGTATCATTTGCACAGCAAATGTTAAATATTGTGGGTGGCTTAGACCAGCCTTATACCAGAATGATGTAGAGAAGAGAACACTGAATTTTGAGTCACAAGACCTGGTTTTGAACTCTGGGTTTGCTCTTTAATATTATGTTACCTTTAACATAGGCCTTTAACTTCCCTGGGATTCAGTTTCCTCGTCTATAAAATTAAGTCGGTCTATACTAGTGGTTCTTAACCTTCTTTGTGTCATGAACCAATCTGGTGAAGCCTTCTCAGAATAAATTTTTTAATGAATAAAATATAATATATGGAACTATAAAGGAAATCAATTATATTGAAATAGTTATCAAAATATTTTTTGAAAACAAGTTTTCAGGCACTTAGTTAAGAACCTCTGAGTTAGTTGATCTAGCTCATCTAGCTCTAAATCTCAAGATCTTCTGACCATTTAGGAAGGGGAGAGGTGGAGAGGGAATGCTTGTTTTAAGTGTCATGTCTTTATATAAAAAGCTGTTCACTTTTTATTAAACTTTTCATAGAACCATTTTTCAGGTTTTTTTTCTGTAAGTGAAAATATGTTGGTGTAATAAGTGAATTTTTTCATATAGTGTTCTTAAAATATCAGAAGTGTACTTACTACTCTCAAATGTTCAGCTTAAATGTACCTGTTCTCTTGTGCGTTGAATGGGATAATATTTGCCATTTATCTACTTAAGGATTATTATTAGTAAAGCAAAAAGTAGTTTATCTTCTTAATTTTCCTTGTACAATTTGTCTGGATCTCTTCTTTTTCCCCCTCCCTTTTGTAAATGTATTGTTGTATGTGTCATATCTTGCTTCCCTTCTTCCCCCCCCCCAAAATGTGACATCCCTGGTAACAGGGACTGCCATTTTTTATCTTTGTATCCCCAGTACAAGTGTATTTAGTAGTAGCTACGTAATAAATGTTGCATTGATTCAAAATCTTCTCCTTTTGTTTATTTCCATGTCTTTGCTAGATTTCCTGTATTTCAGTCTGAAAGTGGGCTAACTTCTAATTTTTGAAATCACGAGCATCAAAAATAAAATGTGTTCTCATGTAGCAAAATTTCAGAGTTGGACAGGACTTCAGGCCATCCAGTCCAGCCTGCCTTTTACAATATTGCCCTACAAGTAGTCGTCCAGCCTTCACGTGAAGACCTCAGGTGAGGAGGAACTTCCTACCTCCCAAAGCAGCCTGTTCCACTTTGGGATGGCATTAGTTGTTAGAAAGTTTTCTGCTTTTGTTAAACTTAAATCTGTTTCTCTGCAACTTTCAGCTATTGTTGCCCTTACTTCTGTCTTCTAGGGCCAAGGAGAACAAGATTAGTCCCCTTATACATTGCCCTTCTCATCATTGAAAACAGCTCTAAGCTTCTCTCAAAGTCTTTTTTTCAGGTTAAGCAGCTCCAGTTGGTTCAACTAATTCTTTTTGGGCATATTTTCCTACCCTGGAAGACCATCTTGGTCCTTCTCATATGGGATTTGGGAAATACCCCTTCACAAAACTGCCCTCAGTGCAAGGCACTAAGGTGGGTCAGCACCCACTCAAGACCATAATTCATGAGCTTCCACCAATGTATTTACTTACACCGGCCAGCCAGAGGACACAGTTCGAAAGAAAAGACATTTAATCAAATAGCATAGCAAATGAAGTAACAGGAAAGCTATCCCACTATGTACATGTGGTGCCCATGGAAGGCCCCAACCTCCAAAGGTGATGTTCCCCACCCCCACCCCTCCAGATAACTACCTTGGGTTCAAGGTTCCTCTCTGGATCTGGATCCACTGGACCATTGGTCAAGAACCCCTAACAATGTATTTACTTTTTTGTTAGAGAATGTGATTTTCAAAGCAAAGGGACTTCTATGAAATTGCCATAGTAATAAGTGTAGTAATAAAACATTTCTTTATTTAAACCTTGGGCACACTCTCCCACTTAATATATCATTTGTGAGAAAAGTAAATACAGCTAGGGAAGACTAAGGGAGAAGCATACTTACCAGGAACATGTCTGTCCAGGACTTAACCATAGAGAGAAAGCAAACACCTCTGATGCTCCGATAACAGTGTTCCCATCATGTTGCTCCTGTGAGACCTATGCCCCCTGGTCTGTGCTAGTGTGGAATCCCTATCAGGTAGGTGGGAGCAGCTTACACTCTCTGCTGGGAATTAACTCCCTGGTCTCACTGCACCAAGCTGCCACACTGCATCTGTTCAGCATTGTGTCCTGCTCCTCCCTTCCCAACTACCTTCAGTTTTTCTCAACCCCAAAATTCTTTTGGTTTACCATGCAAGTTCATGAAAAGGGGAAACCCTTTAGGTGGAATCACTTTGAGGTGTTACTTTTGTCCTTATTTATTTCAGTTTCCTGCATTTATTACGTGACCGGCCTCAGACTTTTACAGACTTGGAATCATACCTTATACATATGGACAATGTGTATATCCCACACATATGGATATCCCACCAGTGAAGGGAACACATGCAGAAAATACATGTGAGCAAGAACCAAACATATAGGTCATACATATATAGGATGAGTGCTCAGGGAACATGTATGAAGAGGCCAATGCCAGAAACCCCTGTGGCTAGGAGCGATGGATGGATAGGGAAAGATACCTTCAGTACCACACAGAAGTCCCGATGTCTTCTGGTGAGATCACTATTTACTGCTGCTTTCCACCAGATGTTTCATCTGTGTCCCTGTTGGCTATCTCTACTGGTCTCATGATCTCTGAGCTTCTCGTTGGTACCCTTTTCTGAGCTGTCACTCTTTTGGGGATATCTGCTGGCTCTTCCCATCTAAAGTGGGGTGGGGTGGGAGGAAGCTAATTTAAAATGAGAGGACCTTCATCCAGTCCTGTGTGTTCTAGGTTTATGCCTGTTTGACAGTTGGCTACTAGGCAAGTCACTTAACCTCCCTGGGCTTCAGTCTCCTTATGTGCAAAATGAAGGTAGAAGGTCAGACTACATGCCCTGAGATCCCTTGCAGCTCTGAATGTATGATTCTGTGACCTAATAAGGTGTGGTGATTAGAAAGCCTCTCCCTAATAGGGAGGAGGCAGTTATTTGAGTTCATGCTGAGGTTATGAGCCGTCCTACCTAGCTAAGAGCAACCAAACAAAAGCTCTAGCCAGAGCGCCCCATCCTAAAATTGTGTGTTCTTTTGATGTCCAGTGTTTGGTGTTAATATGAATTCTATTGTCCCTGACTCAGGCTTAGAAAATTGTTAACTCCTTTTTTACCTCCGACGGAGACTTCCTCCCCCCTAAAATATTCATTTCCAACCCCACAGGACTTGTATAGAGGATGGGACCGCAAAGCCTAGCTCACAGATTTTTCCCAAATTGGCACCAAACTATCAATCAATAAACAAGCATTGATTAAACAGCTCCTCAGTGCCAGGCACTGTGACATCAGGCAACGGGCATACAAATACGAAAGTGAAGGTCCTCACTTTCAAGGACCTCCTAATCTACTAGGGGGCCACAATACATGTGGGGGAGCCAAGGAACAGCATTTGATCTTGATGGTAACGAGGCTGTAAGATTGTCAGGGCGTCCCTTCAGTCCTCTGCAGTGTGACAATTTGCAGTCCACAGTACAAAGTAAACAGCAAATGCTTCATCATTTGTCATTCGCCCACCAGTGAGGATAGCTTAGTCCCAGGGTGGATTCCTGTTCCTTTTAGGGAGAAGGGGGCTGAAGTGCCATGCTGGCAAAATCCCCAAGTTGGACTGAACATGGTATCCTGGTGGATGGTTGGATGAGATGTGAAAGAGATTCTGGACCATTTGGATATTTCATGATCTGAAGTGAATTTTCCCTCATTCATCTGCTAGTCAATACAGCTCATCAGTCTAAACCCCAGTAAATAATCTGCTGTCCCAGCAAATTATAAGGGATGCATTAGAGTGTCCGTAGACATACAACACAAAACATTATGATTTGACTTGTAACATAGTCACAAAAATCATTTCAATTACAAACACAGGCACCTAATTCATGTCATTCACATTAGAACTATGTGCAAGTAGCATTAATAATGATAGCTAACATTTATATAGCATTTTGCAAATATCTAATTTGATCTTCACAACAACCCTGGGCAATAGGACTATTGTTATCCTCATTTTACAAATGAGGAAACTGAGACAGATAGAAGTTAAGTGACTTGCCCATGGCCACACAGTGTTGGAGGCTAAATTTGAACTCAGGACTTCCTAACTCCAAGCCCAGTGTTCTATCCAATTTACCACCTATCTGCTGAGAAAATCAAATTGATTCTGATTCCATTTTGTAATTGATTATATTCCGTATCACTGCCAACATTTTGTATAACTACCTTTGTTTTTAAGTTAAGTTCAGAAGTTGAGGACTTCCAGTGCCAAGATGGTTGAGTGAGGCAGGAACTCTATGGAACCCTTCCGAATTCCTCTACAAAAACTTGGAAACCACCCCAGAACTGATTTAGGAGCAGGGAGGCAGCTTTCCAGCTCAGTGGAAAGGTCTGTCTCAATAGGGTGGGAAAGGAGCAATGTTAGGAGAGAAGCAGTAGGCTGCACATTAGGGGGCCTGCAGTGAGGCCCTAAGCCCCAGGGCAATCTACCAGTGAGGCCTTGCCCTTCAGCAAGCCAGCAGCCCAGAGTTAAGCCAGCAGTCTGTGCAGCACAGCAGCTCAGGCCACCAGCAAGGCCTTACCCCCACTGTTGACTAGTATGGAAATCCTGCCCCAAGAACTGGTCAGCAGTGAGACCATGCCCCCGAGGCCAGCCATCAACAAAATCCCACCCCAGGACTGGCTAGCAGAGAAGCCCTGCCTCCATAGCGACCTGGCAGCAAGGCCCCACCCCTGGGGCAGACCAGCAGCAAAATCTCACACCCAGAGAAGGCCAACAGGGAGGCCCTTCCCAGTCAGTACAAGCCAGCAGAGAGCCCCCCCACTCCAGTGCAAGCCAGCAGCAAGGCCCTGAGGCCCGCTGAAAGCCAGCAACAAGGCCTTGAGCTCCGGCACACAAAGCTTGAGACAGAGCAGGAACAGAGCCCAACTCTCACATAAAAGTGCAAGTCACAAAAGAGGCAGAAAAAGATGAGCAAAAAACAAAAAAGAATTTGACTATAGAAAGTTACTGTGGTGACAAGGAGGATCAAGGCACAAACTTAGAAGAGAATAAGTGTCAAAATG